GGGGGGCGGGGTGTGCGGGGCTCCCCTTGGCCTGGTTCGCGGGAGTGGGCGGCTCCGATTAACCCGCCGGCTCTTCCACCTACTGCCGGGCCGCGTTGCTCCCACGTCTCCTCTGGGAGGAAGGGCCTGTCTGGCCGTCAGGACTGGCTGAGTCCTCGCTTCGCCTGGACTGCCTGGCACCGCGCAGTGGGGCGGGTCTCAGCCTGGCCTCTCCCTCTTCCAACCTGTGGCCATCCCCACGTCCCCCATGTCCCTACGTGTCCCCACCTCGCACTCCCCATGTCCCTGCCTGTTCCCACCTCGCACCCCCATGTCCCTGCCTGTTCCCATCTCGCACCCCTCATGTCCCTGCGTGTCTCCACCTCACACCCTCATGTCCCTGCCTGTCCCCTCGAGCCCCCGTCCCTGCCTGTCCCCACCTCACACCCCCATGACCCTGCCTGTCCCCACCTCGCATCCCCATCTCCCTGCCTGTCCCCATCTTGCACCCCCCACGTCCCTGTGTGTCCCCACCTCACACCACCATGTCCATTCCTGTCCCCACCTCACACCCCCATGGGACCCCCATGTCCTTGCCTGTCCCCACTTTGGACTTCCTCCTGCACTCCCCACGTCTCCCTGCCCTGGTTGACCACCTTCCCCTGGCTGTCCCTTCTGCTTGGAATGGACTTACAACTGGAGAAGCTAGACGACCTCCTTGTGACTTGTTTGCCCCTCAATAGACAGTTTACTCTTTCCGCTGAGGAAGTTACATTAAGAGCTGAAGGGCGGTTCTCTGTAGTTTGCAAAGCTGAAGAAGATGGTATGTAAGGATCTGGGTGAGACAGAAGAATGGGCATTACAGGCTGAGGAGCCTGTGCCATCACTGCTTTGGGTGAGGAGAGGGAGATTCAGACCCACCTGTGCGCAGCCTCGAGTGCCCAGTAGCACCTTGTTCTCCACTTGCATCATCACCTTGCAAAGTGGCATGTTGTTGACTCCCCCATTTTACAGTTGAGGAAACCGAGGCTCCAGGAGTAGACTGTGACTTTCCCAGTCTGTGTGCAGGGAGTGTCTGAACCCAGCCTTGACCTACTGCAATGCTCTCTGCTCTGGTCTTGCTCTATTTTAAAATTTTGTTTATTTATTTATTTAGAGACCAAGCCTGGCTCTGTTGTTGCCCAGGCTGGAGTGCAGTGGCACCATCCCAGCACACCGCAGCCTCGACCTCCCAGGCTCAGGAGATCCTCCCACTTCAGCCTCTTGAGTAGCTGGGACCACAGGCTCATACCATCACGCCCAGCTAGTTTTTTTTTGTATTTTTAGTAGAGATGAGGTCTCGAACTCCTGGGCTCAAGCAATCCTCCCGTCTCAGCCTCTAAAGTGCTGGGATTAGAGGTGTGAGCCTCTGTGTCCTGCCCTCTCTTTAAGAAAAATGTGTTTCTTTCCAACCTGTGACTGGAAGCAGACCTGAGCTCTCTCATGGCTCCCCTTCTACTGGTTTCATCGCCTGAAGTTCTAGCCCAGACTCTACCTCTCAGGCACCCGGGGAACCAGATTCCTGGACTTCCTTCCTGGGACTTGACCTAGTGGGTCTGGGTAGGGCTCAGAAATCTGCAATTAAAGTGCCTCTCCGACAGTCTGTCTCCTCTCCTGCGGCCAGTGCAGCACGTGGACATGGAATCTCCAGGGAATCGGGGGTCAGCTCCAGCAGGTACCTTTTTTTCAGAGAAAGCAGATCTTCATTAGGTTGTGACTCCATCCCCGTCTGGATGCCCCTTGGGTGTGACCAACCCCTCTGTGATTTGAGGCAAATGTCTCAGAAAAGACCCTGCACGGATACTATTTTGAAGGTGAGTCGCTGGCCTTGGGATAAAGGTGTCCTCTCCAGGCAAATGTCCTGCCCTTCAGGTGTGCCTGGAATGCTTCACTCCTCTGCCCACCCTGGCCACTTGGAGGATGCCAGAATCGAAAGTTCTGCATATTAGACCTGAGGTCCAGAGCTGTCCCCTGCGCTGGGTCCCCAGTGACCCTCCTTTGTGGATCGTTCCAGCAGGCCAGAGCCCCTGCAGTGCTGGGATGTGGAGGGCACTGACCTGGTTAGTTGGAGGCCGATGTCTGCCCTACTACAGATTCACTGTGTGACCTAGCAAGTGGTTCCCCCATCCTGTCAGGCCTCAGTTTTCTCCGCTGTAAAATGGAGCAAGTGTCCCTGCTTTCCAGGGTAGTTAGATACAGTCATGCAGTGTAAATAGAGTTGTAGGTAAAATGCCTAGCCCTAGCCCTAAGCATGGCACCAGAATAGAGATCCACCCTGCTCCATGCGTGGGCTTTTCTGATGCTTTTTTTTTTTTTTTTTTTGAGATGGAGTTTTGCTCTGTCACCAGGCTGGAGTGCAGTGGCGCAATCTTGGCTGGCTCACTGCAACCTCCGCTTCCTGGGATCAAGTGATTCTTCCGCCTCGCCTCCCGAGTAGCTGGGACCACAGGCGCGTGCCACCACACCATTTTTTTGTATTTTTAGTAGAGATGAGGTTTCACCATGTTGGCCAGGATGGTCTCGATCTCTTGACCTCGTGATCCACCCGCCTTGGCCTCCCAAAGTGCTGGGATTACAGGCGTGAGCCATCGTGCCCGGCCCCTTCTGATGCTTTGTTGTGTGCTTTTTATCCTTTGCCACCTGCTCGCACGTTCATGGTGAGTTCGTCTGCCTCTGTGGCCTCAGCCGGCTGTCACCTCTGTGAGGGATTCTCCGTGGTTCCAGTCCTCTGCACCTCTGCAGAAATGAGGCTGAGAACTGAAGCTGCTGGCCGAGTCTTGGCCGGACCAGGGCTGGTGGGCAGAACTCGAAAGCCTCCTGTTCCCTGGTGATTCACTCAAGCACAATCTAGTGACCACCTTGGAGGACTTTGCAGATGGATTTGCAGATATTTGAATCAGCTGACTTTAAATAGGATTATTCTGGTTATCCGAGGGGCCCTGTGGAATCATGTGAGCTTTTAGAAGCAGAAGAGCAAGAAGAGTCAGAGATGAGGCAGAAGGAGAGGCCGGAGACGTCAGAGGAGGGATGAGGCGGGGGGCGGGGGTGTCAGAGAGCTCTGAATCATGAGAAAGACTCTATCTGCCTCTGCTGGCTTTGAAGGGGGCTCAAAGCCAAGATACACGGGCAGCCTCTAGAAGCTGGAAATAACCCCAGTGACAGCCAGCAAGGAAACCAGGACCTCAGAACTGCACCAGCGAGGAACTGCGATCTACCAAGCACTCTGAATGAGTCTGGAAGCAGATTCTCTCCTGGAGACTCCAGGGAACCATCGAAGTCCACGTGGGCTTCTGACTTACAGAACTTCCATAGAATACACTTGTGCAGGTGACTCAGTGGTCTGAAGGTCTGGTGCATATGGAAGCTGGCAGGCCAGGAGCAGTGAGCAGGCCTACCCATGGTCAGAGTCATGCCCTCTTCTTGGGAGATGTGTTGGATCCTGCTCCAAGTGCTTCACACAAACTTGGTGAATCTTCGCTTTTTATTTATTTATTTATATTTATTTTTTTGGAGATGGCGTCTCGCTCTGTCGCCCAGGCTGGAGCGCAATGGCGCGATCTCGGCTCACTACAACCTCTGCCTCCTGGGTTCAAGTGATTCTCCTGCCTCAGCCTCCCCAGGATTACAGGCACCCACCACCATGCCCAGTTAATTTTTGATATTTTAGTAGAGATGGGGTTTCACCGTGTTGCTTGGGAGGGTCTCGACTTCCTGAGCCCGGGCAATCCACCTGTCTCGGCCTCCCAAAGTGCTAGGATTACAGGCGTGAGCCCCCCGCCCCCGGCTGAAGCTTCACTTTTTAAATCCCCATTGTATGGATGAGGTAATTTAGGCACTTAAGTATATTGTCTAAGGCCACACAAGTAAGTAAGAGAGTGGGATTTGAACCCCTGGCTACCTGAGTGCAGAGTTCTACTCCGCAGCGTCTGCCCATGGGAGCAAGTACTTTCCAGAGATTCCAGGTGTAGAATTCCCAGAAACATCAGCAGGAGTTCGCCAACCACAGCTCCTGGAGTCTGCAGTCAGAATGCCTCCTGCCAGCTGCCGTAGTCATTACCTGCCCCACGTTCATTCATTCTTTTTCTTTGTTTCTTTTTTTCTTTTTCTTTCTTTTTTTTTTTTTTTTTTTTGCAGTTTTTTTTTCTTGTTACCTAGGCTGGAGTGCAATGGTGTGATCTTGGCTCACTGCAACCTCTGCCCCCCACGTTCAAGCAATTCTTCTACCCAGCCTCCTGAGTAGCTGGGACTACAGGCACGCACCACCACGCCTGGCTAATTATTGTATTTTTAGCAGGAATGGGGTTTCACCATGTTGGCCAAGCTGGTCTGGAACTCCTGACCTCAGGTGATCTGCCCACCTTGGCCTCCCAAAGCGCTGTGATTACAGGTGTGAGCTACCGCGCCTGGCCCGATCCCATATTTATTTAAAAATGTGATATTGTGCTCACCATGGTTTTTTTTTTAATTTTTCATTTTAAAAAATACTGCGTTCGAATATCATTTATCTCTGGATTACTGCGTTTTTGGACATTCCCTTAAATTTTGCACCTCAGTCATATGCCTCACTTCTCTCA